CTCTGTCTCGCTCTGTCTCTCTCTCTCTCTCTCTCTCTCTCTCTATCTATCTATCTATCTATCTATCTATCTATCTAAGATGCATATGTTATATAGATTTCCCTGAACGATGAAGCACGAACCCTAAGCCCAAAATCTGCTTGACCGAGTGCGAGCGCCGAAAGCCTAAACGAGTTTAGGGTTTACGACTGCTGTGACGTTGCAAGCCAGTTGCAAAGAGCGGCTCAGGGTTGAGTTAATGGGTTTAGGTTCACTTCTCATTCAAGTCGCTGAGGTTCGCGCCAGAATACCTGGAAGCGCGAAAGAATGGGCTTAGCTCCTTTCTGAGGGAAGTTTGCAGAAGGCACGTCGGTCCGTCTGTTGCATTGCCTCCAGCTGCTTGTTATATCAGAATAACATAGAGTGTAACAGTAACAACAGCAGCAACAAAGCTAGTATCTAGTAGTAACAGCAGTACTAACAACAATAATCGTAGTCACAGTTCTTCAGTTCTGCTCCCCGTGAGATTGGGGCCCGATGTTTAGCCTCGTCCACCCTAGAGCAGCTGCGGAAGTCTGCGTCTTTGTGGAAACTTGGACTTTCCTTAACCCTATGAGCCCTGAAGCCTTTAAGGGTTAAGGGTTTAGGGTGAGCCTTAACCCTGATGAACCCTAAAAGAAGGGTTAGGGTTCCTTTAGGGTGAGCCTTAGTATTCCAGGCGAGATGCGGTGAATTGCCGCGAAGTGCAGGACCGGGTCCTCCAACAGAAAGCGGGCTTTGGGTTTAGGCGGTTCAGGGTCTTTAGGGTCAAATGCAATTCCTTTTTTGGGCTGCTTTATAGGATCCTAACTGTAAAATCTTCTCAACCAATAAAACGGAACTACACTGCATGGAGACTGGAGGCAGGGTTAATGTCAAGACGGTCGGTCCAGAGTCTACAGGGGTAACGTTCAGATTCAGGGTTTGAGATGCAGCTCGATCAGCTTCTGAGATGACTCGACTCTTGGCCGTAGCCGTAGCCTCTGTCAAGCGGGCAATATTCTTGCTGACCACAACTGATGCAACGGCTTAGGACTGGTCATGTGCAGCTCGCATGTCTCTTCGCTGCCCCAAAGATCCAAGGTACCCGCGTTTAGGACAGTAGCAGTGGCATGTGCAGATCGGGATTAGGGGGAGAGTTTGATCGTTAAGTACTCGGACCTTTCGACTAATTAGCCGGATTGTGGCACCAGGCGCTAGGCCCCCTGGATGCACCTACTAGTGTAATTGAACGACACCGACATGAGGACTTCCTGCTGCTTCGAAACCGCGCTCGGGCTTCAGTGACCTTAGGCTGCTTCTGCGTCCAGGTGGGTAGCCAGCGAAATGCTGGAAGTCAGTGTGCTTTCCTTGCTCACTGTTCCAGACCGGAATCGTAGTATGCGGCCGCGGAGCCTCGAAGGTTCAGGGTGATCAAATTCAAGAGCTCTGCCGCATCCATGTGTACAAGAAGTATAAATCGGGCTTTTGGCATTTGTCGGGCGTCGTTCGTACTCAATGTTGTTTGAACAATCCCTGGAACTAACGACTGAAACCCTAAACCTTAAACCGACTTCCGTTTGCTTTGAGGTTCCCGCTTTGGCGCAGCCCGATGCATCTGAACCCGCCTGCCCGGCGAGACTTGCTGTGTTTGTGTTGGTTTCCATCTGGTCCATTCTGGCCTGTCTGCTTGGGCTTGGTGGTGGACCTGGTCTTGTTGGGTTTGAGGAATGTCGGCGGGGTTCCAGCTTCACAACTCACACGGGCGTCACGGCTTTGACGCCCATCCATTGCACGTGTGTGGATGGCGTTGGATGCTAGCTGGCTGAGGAAGTAATAAGCCAAGATGTGATGTCCTTTTGCTGACACTGTTCAGCAGCTGCAAAAGAAGCAGTTTCTGCAGCAAGCTGCACCGGCATTAGCTTCCAAGCCTCCAAGGGGGCCAAAGAACCTAGACGACACGGGGCCACTCTGGATTGGATGAACGCTCCAGTAGGGATGACATGCAGTCCTGCAACACGCCAGTTGAGTCTGCGACCAGAGGAGGGTGAGCCTCTATGGTTTCGGATCCCACCGCCTCCAACGAGGTCCAATCGGCGGAAGTGCAGGAGGCTTCTTTCGGCATAGCCCACTTCGAGTACGACGCAGTGCCTTGACCAGTCCTGGTTGTATCAGGAACCACGGGTGTTTCTTGAAACCAAGTGCTATACATTGTTGTACTTTTTACGGATATGTTCCGCCACCATGAGACGCCCTTTGACCAGAAACAACACCTGTATTGACCTGTATAGGTTCAAACTGAAACCCGGAGGTTTGAAACATGGTCGGCTGCTGATAGAGCTTGGTAGCACAGCGGGTATCATACTTATGTGAACCCTGCACCCCCCCATGTTTTTCGCAGTCGACTCCAAGACTTACGGATGGAAGGCTCTCCACCTTGTTCCGGTCCTGTCAACATGGCAGAGCTACCCATAGGCCCCTAAGTACTCGTAGTTCCTTTTTTGGGATTACCTTATAGGATTCTAAATATATAGACCAAAAAAAGGAACTACTTAGGGGCCTGTGGGTACACTGAGGTTCAAGGAGCCCTTCTTCTTGGCTCTAGCGATTTTTCCTGGAGTTCTCGTGTGGCTCTCAGCCCCAGCGCTGAGCACAGCGTGCGTGCATAGCCTAGCTCATGGGCACGGAGTCATGAGCCCGATCCTGGCATTACCCATAGGCCCCTAAGTAGTTCCTTTTCGGGATTACCTTATAGGATTCTAAATATGAACCATTAAAAGGAACTACAAAGGGGCCTATGGGTACAATTGGCCAGCTTTCTGTGAGACCTTCGGATGGCATGGTACCTCGAGACAGCTCGCATATCTGTTGCCTCGAGAGTCGAGCGCACCCTGTTCCGAGGAGTGGATACAAAAATCACGTGTGGCCGGCATTTTGTCGCCTCCCACAGTCAGCTCCTAAATAGGGTATGAGGATGCGTGATAAGGTGCAGCGAAGTCTGATGTTGCGACAGAGTGGATCGTTTGTTGCGACACTTTCAGGAATTCGATTCATGTGGGCCAAGCCACAGCTGCGCAAGGTAGGCCTATCTCCGCGTAATGAATTGACAGGTTGAAGCTCTGGCACAGTCATGTGGTAAAGTTTGAAGCTGTCCCTGCAAACATCCGCGGAAGGGCAATTGACTCTTTCAAAGCTATGGGCATGAATAGCAATTATCTGCCAGGAACATCAAAATGCCTTGGGAGAAGAAAGCTCCCAACCTGCCAAGCGCACAGATGTCACTGCCAGCGAGCCCAGTTTCTGCTCCGACTTCTTGGCTTAATGGATAGATCAACAGGAAGTAAAACGGATATGCAGTTCTGTCCAGCCAGTGCCCCATTCATGGTCCCGCATTTGATAGGTTTGTCCGTTACTATAGGGGCCCAAATGGTCTAACAAAAATTTCAAGGCAAATTATTTTACTATTGCAATTTCGGCTCCAGCTAGTGCTACGGCTAGACAGCCCTCCACACCGGCTGACATGTCAGGAGCCCAGCGGGTGTTCTTTTCATGAAGGTCATGACATCATTTCGCTTGGGTTTTTGTCGTTCGAGTATTCGGGAGTAGAATTTCTCCCGCCAATTTGCCAGAGAACTTGGTCAGAGTAATCTCGACTACACGCACGAACGGTGGCAACATCTGTTCTGTGAGCATGCACGTTCACATCGTGCTACGCTACCCATGCTGAAGTGCAGATGGAGTTGGGTCCTAGAGAAAGACGGGCATGATTGCTCCTGCCTCGCGTTCCCTAGCAGCTGAATGTACCAGAGCACAGCAGACAGCAGATCATGCCTGCCACTGGCACCACGCCGTGGCATGGGTTGCGCTTGTCGCCGTTGGCTCTACTCCAAGAATTGATGTAAACGACTTCTGGCATGAGATGAAGGTCTCAAAGATCGAGAGCCGGCCCAGTTTGATGAGGAACGATCGAAAATGTGTGGCATAATGTAGAAATGCGGTCGTAATTCCACGCTTGTGCTTGACAGTGTAACCGTGTAGCATTACGACTTGTCCACACTGCCCAAATCACCCTCAAGTAGCTCGTTCGCAGGTTCCAGGGCAAGTACGCCGGCGCGGATGAATCAGGCGGCTGGTGGCGGTGCCCTGGTATGTTTGGTGTCATCGGGGAGCTGAGTAGACGGTCGCAGACGGGCCGAATTCTGAAACCCGCAGGGGCTTTGAAGCATGCGCACTGCATTTCGGCTAGAGCTCCAGCGTACTTAGAAGAAATCCAGGGTGTATCTTGGGTCCTCGTGTTGGTGCCAACTTCGTGGTAATCGTACAGTTGAGGTGGAATGTGAGTTTCAACAACAATCCAGGGGATCCCTTGATGGAGTCCCACGGACAAAGGGCCCTGTTGCAAAAAAGGCCCATGGGATCTTCTCTGAAACCCTATACCCTAAACCCAAAGCCTAAACCCTGAAACCCTGAAAGCAGCCCCGAAGCTTGAGGATGTCTCCTTCTCCTCCGAGGCTCCTCCGAGCCGCTGGGCTGCTAGCAGCCACTGCAGCGGCCGCTGCGGCTGCCTGGACAGCTTGGGCTGCAGAAGCCAAGGAGGAAGTCGCCCATTTTTCATCAGGGCATCTCCGGTAAGTAGGAGCTTCAGAAACTGGGAGACTGATACGCCTTATTATAGGCCCGAAAGACTAGTGCGCTGTATGAGGACCCCCGCTTTCAGGGACGGCTATTTTTTCAGAAATGACCATATCCAGGCGCCGAAGCTTTAAGATGAGATGCGCGATTACCTCGCAGCTTCGGACAAGAACCCCCACAGTCTTACAGTTTGAGTGGCGAAACACAGGTCTATAGTTGCTTCAGGGATTCCGGATATGTTTGGACAGGGTTAGTACGCGGCACCGTGTTTCCGAGTCCTGAACTTGGCGATGCGAAGCTGAAGCTTAGAGATTCGAGCGGCTTGGCCAGAAAGCAGTTCTTGCCAGTGCCTGGGTGATTCGGTGTTTAAGGCATCGGTGTGTGCTTAATCTGCTTCGTGGATGTGAAGCTGGCCCGAGGGCAGGGACGAGGGCGTTGCTCCCGCCGTTTGTGGATGTAGTCCTCCCGGTTTCCGAGCCGCTGCCTCACATGTCGGCCAGAAAGAGCCATTCAGACCCCTGAGGAGGAGCTGCTCCTCAGGGTGCTGTCGGAGCTGCAGCGCCGTCTGTTCCATGTGGCCAGGGATGTGGCAGTGATCGCTCAGGCAGCCAAGCGGGGTCGCATCGGGCTTGCTGCCAAGCCAGAGCTGGAGAGAGAGAGAGAGAGAGAGAGAGGGCAACCTCTGCCCATAGCCCTGGCGAAAGAAAGAGAAAGAGAGAGAGAGAGAGAGAGAGAGAGAGAGAGAAAGAGGGGGGAACTTCCCCTGTCCATAGCCCTGGCGGAAGAAACAAAGAGAGAGAGAGAGAGAGAGAGAGAGCCTAAACACGCACTGGCGCTGAGGGATATGGCATGAACGAGAGACTGAGGGGCCAAGAGAAAAGACTAGCGAAGAAGATATGACGCTGCCCTCATGCATATGATCCACTGCACGGTTACGGCCATGTGGCTGGCATGTGGCTGCAGTTTTTTTGTTGGGGGGCTTTTGGGTTGACCGAGACAGAGAAAGCGCTCGGATTTGAAAGCTTCTTGGGTCTAGATTCTTAAATGGGGTTGTCTCCTCTATCTGGCGACTTTGGATATCATGCGCGCTTTTGGGCTAGGAGTGTAGTTCGTGTAGCTTTGCATGGTCTTCCTCAACAGGCAATCCTCCGAGCTGACAAACAAACCTTGTTTCTAAACTTCCGTTGCAAGGCTTTTTCCTTACTGGGTCCGTACTTTTGAACTTTCGGTCCTCCGACATGAGTCGTCAAAAATCCACTAAAGTTGCCAGCTCTCTCTTCGCAGAGGACGTCCGTCAACATCTCAAGGGCCAGGGCGTTCACATCGACGAGGAGCAACTTCGTCGGGCCCACAGTCGCTCACAAATGACAGAATCAGAATGCAGCTAGCCGTGGAAGGGGTCGGAATAATTAGTAATAATGATACTGTGCCTTCGGGTTAGGGTTCTCTTTCTGGTATATTTATGCACCACAGCCCTGTTCTAATCTTTAAGAGGAGCCCTTCAATGAACCCTATTCTACTTGTCAAGGGCTCTGCATTACGGCGCCCTAAACTCCTGAAGTCTCAAACCCTAAACCCTGCGATCGCTACCACACATAACAGTTGCTGCGCAATGGTCGCAAGGCGCACAGACCCAACTCAGACACCTCGCCCGGATTGCCCAAGCTGCGAGAGCCGAAACTCGTGCGAGAGCGTCGTAACCCCCGAACCCAACACCTCAGGTCTGCCCAGAAGGACCACGTATCGATCCGAAACATGTTTTAGAGGCCTTATAGCAGCTCCTGGAAACTGGAACTACGCCAGAGCTGGAACGAAATGCCACATGCCCTCTCAACTGGCCTCAACACATGTGCTCTCACCCTGCATAGATCCCTGCCCAGTGAGGCCGGAGAACTAGTAATGCAAGCTTTGTCGATTGCAGCTCTTGGTGCATGCTGCTGGCGTGAATTTCTCACTCAAGAAGAGGCTGCGTGAGGGGTCGTAGGGAGTCGGCTCATGCTCCTTGGGCGCAGGCGTCAGGTGCTGGACCTGAAGTCGGCGAACAGCCGCCGCAGCAGCGCATATGCCTGGACCTCTCATGGTGTAGGCGTGGGACCGGCATCTGACGCTGATTCAGAGCTGCTGGCTGGCCCCTGTGCACCGACTACCAGAAGGAACGACAGTTTTCAGAGCCTTATCAGTTTCTGCTGTCGAGTGACTCCGTGTCGCTTCGCGCTGCTGTGTGGGCTTCTCTTTCTCACGACAATGGCCCTCCTTGGTCGCTTCGTTCTGAACACCGGCTCGGACGAGAAGCAAGGGCTCCGTGGAGCCATGTGGAACAGCTCAGATGGACTTCCCTCGATTGGCGGCACTCCAGAGCACGGGACGCCGCAGATGCACGAGGAGGCCAAGCCGAAGGACAACCGGACGTCCATGCACTCCGAGACGGCTCAATGGGCATCCGCTGCACCACAGCCAGGTGCAGGAACGACGGCGGCGCTGTACCCGCCCGACAATGCAACGAACACAAGCTTCGAACTTCACGGTGAGGAGGACATGCTGTCCACGTCCGCGGCAGAGTCGCCGACAGACTCTACATCATCTTCGACTTGGAAAACTAGTTTCCGCGTCGACGGCAGGTTTTCGAGCACCTCTACTGGGAGCACCACCACAAGCAAGCAACCGGCAAGTATGTTTGTGTCCCCAGTCCATTTCCACAATAGCAGCACCACGAGAACTAGCAGTGCGAGCAGCTTCAGCAGCACGTTTTCCAGCACAGCTAGCAACATAATGCCAGAAGGCACTCGGACCGCCATTGGAACAGTCACCTACACAACTGTGGGAAGCACTGTGACCAGCAGTCTTACAACTTTCCATGGCACGACTTCACTAGCAACCACAAGCCCGGCAACCACGCATACCTCAAGTTTTCAAGCTACACTCATCAGCGAAACAAGCCAAACAACATCGAGCGTTCTCACATCAACAGGCTCGAGCAGCAGCACCCCGACCACGAGCATGACCACCATCACTGACACCAGCACGAGAACACGTCCCGCCGCTGACACTGTAACGGCAACATACTCCACAACAAGTTCGGCAGCCGCAACCATGTCCACCATCACCACCTCCAGCACTACAAATCGGACCACTCGGACAGACATCGTAACTCCAAGGTACACCACCAGGAGTACCACCACATTGAGTGGCACAACCAGCTCCAACGCCATTCTTGGCACCGCTCCCGCGGAGATTACCCACAGCACCAGCACAATTCGCAGCATCCGCTCCAACAGCATGCCGCAAATCTCTGTCACCGACACGTCAACCCAGACATACACCCGTAGCAGCACTGTTGTGACTACCGGCCTGGGCCTGGTCAGCACCAGCACCGCTCGTGCCACTGCCACGACCACACTGAGTTTCAGCACGACAGCGGCGGCCACAGTTGCAAGCAAGAGCACCAGTGCTAGTACCACTACCCTCACCGTCACTGGCACCTCTACTGCAACCGGTGACACTGCTTTCAAGTTCCAACTCGAAGGTCCCAGCCCTGCAGTGCCGAACTGCTATTTGGAACCACTGGTTCCTAAGTCAGGGTGCCTCCGTGCAGCGGTGCTGGTTGGAGTTCAGTTCGGCTTGAACCACTATGGCCAAGAGACGACTGGAAAAAGGATCTGCTTGAACCACTTGCGAGAAACAGGTCTCAACACATTCGTTTTCAGAGCCGGTCTTTGCGAACTCTGGAACTGCAGCACTCGTGGAGCCTTAAGGAAGTGCGCTGACGGCTTGCCACTAAGACGAGGCACCTTCCTGGCGAGCCAACACCGTCTCGTGACCACTGGGCGGGATGGAGAACTCGTCCTGGAAGAAGATGCTGTGGCAGGACTTGCGTTGGCTGTCTTCAGCAATGAAGATGGCACCGTCTCGTTGCAAAGCCGGGAGGGCCGGTACGTGACAGCCCGACCCGACGGCACCGTCACGGCATCGAGTACAGTCCTTGGCACATCGGAGAAGTTTCATAAAGTATCCCTCGGAGGCTCTGACTTTGCTCTTCGAACCGCCCACAGCGCCTGGCTCACCGACGGGTTGGGCCGCCTTCAAGCCAGTCCTGAGGCAACGAGAGGCCACTTCCAGCTGCACATCCGCGAAGGCAGTGCCATGTCGGCCACAAGTGGCAGCGAGGGTCATCCGCTGGCCCATCGCACATCCGTGCACAGCACGCTTTGCAGATATCAGGAGCCCGTTGGCGGCCTCGGCGGGCGTCAGCGACGCAGCCCGAGCTACGTCAAACTGTGGGAGTGGAACTACGCGGACGTCGCCCGAGAGTGCCAAGAAACTCTGGGTCCGCAGGGCTTCGATGCCGTGCAGCTGTCGCCCTTCACGGAGCACGTGAAGGGCCACCAGTGGTGGGTGAGGTATCAACCAGTGTCCTTCGGCCTCAATTCTCGCAGTGGAACCGCGCCGGAGCTTCGCCGCGCTGTGGCGGCATGCCGGGCAGCAGGAGTGGCCATTATTGCTGATGTGGTTCTGAACCATATGGCAAGGCCCTGCCACAGCGCAGAGGCCCAGACGAACGGCGCAACACCCTGCATCGGTTGGAACGGGACACGGTACGGCAATCGCCAAAGCGAAGGCGCTTACGGATGGGATTCAGCAGGGCCCACGGACTTCCACCACCAGGTGGATCACCTGACGTGGGGTGCCTGCGGCGTGGGTCCTGAAACCGGATTCCTGTGCGGATCATTAGTAACAACGGACTGCAGCTGCTGCAAATGTGACATGTACGGACTTCCAGATTGGAATCTGTCCCAGCCCACAGTGCAGGAGATGCACAGTCGGCATTTGTCAGACCTCTTCGAGATGGGTGTCACAATGCTGCGCGTGGATGCAGCATTGTACATGGAGTCAGAGCACTTTGCGGCCATCGTTCACCGCTTTCCTTGGGACGTTGTGTATCAAGAGTGGTGGCACGAGCTAGCAGTGCCTGGGCGCACGGATGTCTTCGGGCTTTACCGAGACCTCCACTTCATGCGCAAACTGGCCGATCTGCTGCATGTAGCAAACGCGGAACGAGCAGCAGAGGTAGTCATGCTTTCCAGGGGAGACTATTTTATCCCTCCGCACGAAGCGCTGTACACCACTTGCTTCCACGATGGGAGGACCGACAACGCAGACCCCGCCACTCCAACCTTCAAGAATGGGCTGGCCTTCCATCAGCAGCAGCTCTTCATGATGGCCTCGCCGTTCCCCGTCTCCGTGCTTTTGTGGAGTGGGTACAGTTGGAAGTCCATCGAACAGGGCCCGCCTGGCTGCGAGAGTGGCGGTCATTGCGTGCCCCGGTCACCCTTCACTGACCTCCTGGGCTCGGCCACCGAATGCCTGCCCACGCCAACCGGCACTCCTTTGCCAGCAGAGCAGAGCAGCAGTCGACAGTGGGTTTGTGAGCACCGTTGGCGGGGAGTGGCGGGCCTGCTCCAGTTTCGGAAGGCGTGCCGTGGCCTTCCGGTGGAGCAGGTATGGACTCGAGGGACAGTGCCCACGATGCGCTCCGGCCACGTGGCCTTCCGCACCGGCCAGGAATGCTTTGTTGCCGTTGCAAGAGGTGGGCAAGGCGACTTCGAGCTCAGCGGCTTGCAGCTGCAATTCCCTTCAGGACGCTACTGCGACCTGGCATCCTATGATGGGAGGAGCTGTGCGCGCGAAGTGTTCGTACATGACGACGGGCGAATTCAGCACGGAGTGGTTCCAGACGGAGACTTGACAGCGATCAGCGTGGCTGTCCGCTGGCCAAGTTGAGAGCGGAGATCGTCAAGGAGTTGCATTCCTGGAGCTCTGGTGGTTTCGTGGTGGCATTGGACACGATCACTTCATTGGCAACGTCTCCAATGGTCCAATTCCTGTTGTCAAGGAGGCCTCTAGCTTGCTGGTGAGCCAGCAAAGATAAGAGAGGGAGTGCCGAGCTGCTGTCCTTACGGACAGGGGAAATGGCCGTGCTGCGCTAGGGGTAGTTATAATGAGTTACTGTAATGCTGTGGGCCAAAGGTGCCTACTTTCAGGCCAATGTGCTGTCGCCACGTACCAGAATCCTCGCCTAGGCCTGTCCGAGTGTGAGTGCTGAAACCCTTGTCCCTGAACCCTAAACCCAGAGTTCAATCCAAAAAAAACGCCTACATTGCACCCCGAAACCCCAAAACCCAACAGCCCACACCCTAAACCACACGGTCTTACAGGCAAAGAGCTGGCAGTCGAATGTCCTGGCCTCGGCCGTTTATCGATGACGCTGAGAGTTGAGACCTGGAGCAGCGGCAGACGGTGGGTGATGTGAGGATTTGTGGCTGTCGGGTTTCGGGTTCAGGGTTTTTCTAGGGCGAGCTCACTTCAAGCCTGTGGAAAAAAGGGTTTTTCTAGGGTCAGGAAGGGTTCGCGCCCAGTTTTGTACGCTGGAGTGTTGTTGAGGTCGAATCTCGGAGAAGTTCCGGAAAATCCAGGCCCGCGGCTTGCTTTGAGATGTCTGCCTGATGGGTCACAGTGGGCTGATGTTGCCACAGTGGCCGCAGAACCAGCTTAAGACTGCTTGTAACCATGGCAAAGACCCCGCGAAACCCGCTGACTTGTCCGAGAGTGGGCACCAAAACCCCAAACCCTAAACCCTAGCTGATTTCAGGCCGAGGTCCTCAAGTCTTTCGGCTGCAGCGAGGAGACTGCTGCTACAGTGACGAACGGGACGGCAGAGGCCTTCTGATGGGCTTGACAGTACGGAATGCGTTGCTGCGTCGGGCTTTCGTGGGTTTGTTCTAGGGGCTTTTGTGGGTTGCAGTTTGTCCTGTCCCGGCTGCTTATACAGGCTGCAGCTTCACATTTGTCTGAACGGACACCACCACACGCTGAGACTCTGTGGGGGTGGCTGGGAGGGCCTCAGCAATTTTGGTATAGGTGTGTGATGAAAGTCCACAGGCGGAACCTGGCTTGCCCAAAACATGTTTTCAAGCCGGATTTTCGGTTCGACAGGAAGTTCGCAGCCACGTGGCAACTCGGCTGCATACTTTACTTGCAAGGTATGCAGAGCAGCTACCGTTGCTGATGTGATGGCTCAGCCACTTTACTTTGGAGTTGTCGGGACCCGGGCTGTTTGCAGCACAGAAGTGAATGGCAGACAGCAGATGTGCTACCCTTCACCACACCCCAAGCCCCATTGGATGAGTTTGCCAGGTGCTTGAATCCCTGAAGCAATGCTTGCCCATGATGACCAAGGAAGCCAACAAGCAGATGCTGGCTGATGCACTTGGAGGATCCGAGCTTCGTTCGAGCTGAATTAACAAACGAACAAAAACGCCATTTCTTCATAGCTTCAATTCCTCGCGCGGATCTTTTTTCAAGTCGGCTGCGCAGCCGAACCGTCTCAGTGCTTTCGCAGGACTCCCTCCAGTGCTTCCGGGAGTAGAGATCCCAGAAGATCTTACCCAGGAGCGCTTGCTTCTTAGCTTTAGCTTTGGCGTGTCAGCTCCAGTGGTTTTGAAAGTTTGCCCTTGGGATGTCAAAGCAGTCCTGAAAACGAAAGACGTCGATTAATGCGGGAAGTGTGGGCGCGGAATAGCCTGTCACGACCGTCCTGCTGTAATTTTGGATAGCTTGGAGCTACTACAGCTCAATCTCACATCCGTGCTGTGAGTCATTAAGGCTAGAGCTTTACAGCAAAGTGCAGACGCTGCCACTGGGTTGCAAGCGTATAAAGACCGATGCCAGATGTTCGGATGCACCAGAAGTCTTGATGAACTGGGATGCATCGTAGCACGGTGTAGATGCCCCTAAATAGTCTTCCTCGGGTCCATCGGCTGCTGGCAATCAAGTACTGGACCGGTTGAACACTACGCAAATATCCCCCTTCCTACATCCTGGCTTTTATGGGGTGTCTTACATAGGTTGAACACCATTTCATTGTAGCTGGATTTGTCGCCTTGGAAAGCTACAGGAATTATCTCAGCTCGCACCCCGCATTTTATCCA